TTATCGAATAGTCGACTACTCGCTTACATCTCTAGCAGCCATACCAAGAGAGTGGCCAGCAGAGCTGGGACTCCATTTTGCCTGCCAGCACACTGGTAAGTAGGCTCCCTACCCTCAAACCCTGGGCTGCTGGGGGTGGGGGATGGAGGAGGAAAAAAGGCCCTGCTTTTGTGTGTCGATGTGCTCTTTCGGAAGAAGTTTTTCCAGAAGATCTCTTCCGAAAAAAGCTTCTTCCGAAAGAAGCCTGCAGTCTAGATGTAGCCTAAGTCTGCTAGTATAAAATAAGAAAATGACAGTGGCAACTAGCAACTTAAGATTTCTCTTACTTCAGCTTTCTGTTTGGAATTCTTGGGTGATAGATTCTAAACCTAGTTAACTAATTAAGCCTTAAGGATTAGCTAAGTTAAACTATTTTTCTAGCAACCTCCAACACAGCAAATAGCTTGGGAGTTTACTTGTCAAATCACACTTATACTAAAAAGTAGAGAGTCTTGAAGAATGATGCATTGCAAAGTGAATTATTTAAGTCACTAGCCAGTTGATCTACTCAGCCACATCCACATCTACATCACTTTCTCCCAGTAAGCAGTTTTGCTTATTGATGTTTCATTCTTGCAACTAGGCCCTGCATCGTCGTCTTGTGCTGCTTACACTTAATATATATATTCCTTTTTACCCAGGAACGAATTTCTACAAAATATTCCCAGGTAGGATCTCTCTTATGCCCAGAAGCCATTTTTCTGTGGCAAAAATGTTGGGGAATATAGAAAAGTGTGTGTCTGTGCTGAATAACATCTTCCCTTTTTCTTTCCAGTCCACTTCACTGTTCCTTTCTATGCTGCCTCTGTCCTTTCCTATATATTGTATCTCTGTCTTAACTCCTCTGCAGTAATTGGCCACAGTCCACCACCAAAAAAAAAAAAATCCTATCCAGATTGTGCAGTGGTGGGCAATAAAAAAACTACAGCTTGCAGGGTTTGTACCTGGCGGGCTGCTGCCGCTATGTTTACCTGCATCTCTGCAGCTATCAAAGGATGGCAATACACGGCCAATGAGAGCTGTAATCCTCCGATACCTGCAGAGGCGCAGGTAAACATGGAGATGGGGACCTGCCAGGGACTAACCCTGTAGACCGGATCCAGTCCTCAGGCTGGAATTTGCCCACCCCTAACCTTGTGTGTTTCTCAGCAGTTTAAAAAGTAACCTATACAAAGAAACAGAAATTGAAAGCCCAGAACATTCAAGAAGCAAGAGCTAGTAGTTTGGTTGGACAGACTAGATCCATGAATTCATTTTTATTAGACTGTAAGTGTAGATGTAGCATGTTTGAGATTTAATTGTAATGGTTATTTTTAAATTATAAATTTAATATTTTACTGATTTTAAAAAATCAAATTTAACTTTGAATTAAATAAAACAAATTTTCTCTCTCTTTTTTTTAATCGTCAATTTTTATCCACCCTGATTTGTACATATAAGTGTTTTATGAATATATGTATTCAGCTGTCCACTCCTCCCTTGCTCTCCCTTAAAAGTCACCAACAAAGTAGAATAGAGGGAAATGGATTAGTATCCTTCTTCTTTGCATTATATAATGCAGACTTGAAGTTCTCTTTTTGTGGTGGGATGTGATTTAGTGCTTTAAAATATACATATATATATATAAATAGAATCATAGAAATGTTGGGCTGGAAGAAAGCACATCCCACCCATCTGAGGCAGGATTAAATATACTTAGACCAGTGTTTCTCAAAGTGGTCCATGAAACCACTTTGAGAAACCTGCTAACTGGCCACTCTGGTGTGTTTGTTTATTTATGGGTGCCGTGGCCATGGAGCCTCACAACTCCCTTTGGCCCCGCTTGGCCCTTTGCAGCCAATAGGAACTGCAGGATGCGGCGTAGGCCAGACCGCCACTTCCTGCAGCTCACGTTGGCTACAAACAGCTAATCGGAGCCAATGGGAGCTATGAGGCTTTGTGGCTATGGCACCAATAAATAAACAAACAGGTTACTTCCTGTCCTGCCTTCAGTGGACACGGAGAGCAATTGGTCATTGTCCTCTTTGTAATGACCTTTCACATATTTTAAGATTGTGTCCCCTCTTGGCCATGTGTTAGGCCTTGTCTTCCTGTGTTCACACTTTTACTTTTGTAATGTAATGACTGTATTAGCAAGCAAGTTTACTGAAAATATCTGCTCAGTATACAGCAGTGGTCAGAAAAGCTACAGAATGCCAAGACCTGAAGAAGAGCTCTTTGTGGCTTCAGAGCTTGTTTCTTTCACCAATAGAAATTGGTTCAATAATTTACCTCACCTACTTTGTCAGTCTCATATGCTGGCACCCACCTGGCTACACCACCATTGTAAGCAGAATGTTGATAATAGGGTTGCCAGGTGTCCGGTTTTGAACCAGACAGTCAGGTATTTGAGCTTTCTGTCTGGGAAACAAATTGAGAAAATACCGGACATATAAATGTCTGGTATTTTCTAATTATGTTTTTACTATTATCATGAGTATCAGTAAGTAGTTGCGTACTGCCTGGCTGGTAGACATGCTCACACTGCGTGAGCGTGTCTAACACCCAGGCAGTTCGCAACTATGCAGTAGACAGGGGGGAGGGGAGGGGAGGGGAGGAGAGGGGCTTGATGGAATCCCCGAGACCAGACTCACTTGGGGTGCGCCCCACCAGGACCATGTGTGGGATGGGCAGCACCCCAGGATATGCACGCGCCTGGGTCAGTCCCGCTCCCCGCCGGCTGGTTCTTCACCCTCGCCTCCCCTGCTTCCTTCCTGACCAACTCCGCTCCCTGCTGGCCTGTCCCCTCCCCCTTCCCGTCCCCGAGCTGAGATCAAGTGTGTCCGGTATTTTTTTTTAAACCATCTGGTAACCCTAGTTAATAAAATATAAATAATAAGACAGAAAATATACTAATGTTGCTGTATATATAGCTGTGATACACCCACCCCTTGAATACTGCATGTAGTTCTGGTTGTCCCACCTCAAAAAAAGATACATTAGAAGTGGAAAAGGTATAGAGAAGGTCAACTAGAATAATTACAGACATGGAACAATTTCCATATGAACAGCGATTAAAAGGACTCAGACAGCTCATCTTAAAAAAGAGATGGATGGTATGATGGAGGTCTATACGATTATGAATGATGTGGAGAAAGTGAAAAGGGAAGTGTTATTTACCCCGTCGCATAACACAAAAAGCAGAGGTCGCCCAGTGAAATTTGTAGACAGTAGGTATAAAACAAACGTAAGGAAGCACTGCTTCTCACAGTGCATAGTCAGCCTCTGGAATTCATTGCCAGGGATGTTGTGAAGGCCAGAAGTCTAACTGGCTTAAAAAAGAGACAGAGACATTCCTTAAGGATAGGGCCATCTATGGCTACTAGTCAGTATGGCCAGAGAGGCAACCCCATGATCTGGGTGTCCCAAAACCTATTACTGCCAGAAGCTGGGAGTGGACAACAGGGGATGGGTCACTCAGTAACTGCCCTTCTCTATTCATTCCCTCTTAAGTGTCTGGTGCTCCCCTCTAGGCCACATGGACCATTAGTCTGATCCTGTACAGCCATTCTTATAAGTCTATAGCTATTTATGGGAAGAACAAACTCTAAATGTGTATTTTTGGGAAGTATATTTTGAACTTATGGATGTTAAGAACTTGTCTAAGAACTATCATGCAGTAAAAGTTACTCTCACCCAGTCAGGCAACAGACAGTACCATGTAGCAAGTCATGGCTAACCCACATAGTTTGATTTATTTCCAGAAATTGTTTGGTGAATAATCTTGTATAAAAATGAATTCAACCATCCTATTTGTGAACAAAAGAAATCCAGAGAAAGTAGCTAATCTGTCAAATATTCCACCAGAAAATCTACAATTTTAGTAATTATCCAAATTTTTATTTTTGTCTGGGACAATTGGTCTATAAACTACTCTTAAAAACCTAAATAAACAAAATTGCATGGAATCTCTGACAAGAAGTTATTAGAACTTAAAACTACATAACTTCTGAGAGAGAGCGCCTTAGTCCCTCTCTGTCAATACAGTGCCTTGTAAATCTATGTTGAGGTATCTGTTTTGTTCTGACTCAAATACCATCCACTGAATACCCAACACAAATTCTTATAGTCCATATGAGTGTTCTTTGGAGGCCTCCAATCTAAGTAGATACAAGGCTATATAGTCTGTTCAGTAAACAAAGATTAGATACCTTTTTCCTGCCTCCTCCTCTTCCAGTGAAGGAGTGATGACCCACATCTGTATCATGAGTATATTCAAGTGCATGCAACTTTAACTATGCCACTCATGATAAAAGTCTATTCTTATAGTCCATATGAGTGTTCTTTGGAGGCCTCCAATCTAAGTAGATACAAGGCTATATAGTCTGTTCAGTAAACAAAGATTAGATACCTTTTTCCTGCCTCCTCCTCTTCCAGTGAAGGAGTGATGACCCACATCTGTATCATGAGTATATTCAAGTGCATGCAACTTTAACTATGCCACTCATGATAAAAGTCTATTATATTATATTATATTATATTATATTATATTATATTATATTATATTATATTATATTATATTATATTGAAAGATAAACGTAGGACTGTCTCACCACATCCACTAAACTTGTTAGGGAAAAATCTCAGTCTTGACTTTGTGCCCATGTGAAAGTCTCCACTGTGTTTATAGTGCTGACAACTGAAGATGTATTATGTTCTGTGATGAAGCAGAGTTTTTTTGGGGGGGGGGGGGGTATGGGGTTTTTTTGTTAATGTTTTGGCTGTGAATGACTCTATAAACAATTCCTCAAAAAGGAGAACTGTTGGATAGAAAAAAGGACTTTTTAGAGTTACAGCTTAGGGAAGATGGAGGGATTTGGCACAAGGCTGAGACTTAATGCCTTTAATTATTGCATTGCTGCAGCATTGATAAAGAAAGCTGTTCTGCTTGAATGTATTGTCATACTTCTATTTGTTACGCTCTTGGCCTTAATTTTCTCTTTTAGGTCTTCAGTGAGATATAAAGAAATGGCTGAACTTGCCCGACTAATTGACAGTGAGGTCTTTCTGGCTTATGCTACTTACACAACCATTGTCCTTTTAAAAATGATGCTAATGAGTATTATAACAGCATTCTTCAGAATAACGAGAAAGGTAAGTAACCAAGGATTTTATGTAGCAGAACTGAGATTCACTTTAAAATACAAAAGTATTTCTTTACTTTTCTGCTTTAAATATCGATTTTTAAATTATTATTCTAATAATATTCAGTTACTTTCCTTAGTCTGGTGGTGCTTCATTTAATGTCACAAAATGGAAAATGCCTCCCCCTATAATTACAAGTCAGTCTCTTTTACAGACACATTTGAGATACTATACCTCTCTGCCCCTGAAATTATTCCATTTCTTTTTTATAGAAAGCCTTTCTCACTGAGGGAGTCACTCTTTTTGTCCAGAATACATTGTTTCTTGAGCACCCACCTTATAAAGTAGATGAAGTGTGATTGCATCAAGCTAACCAAATAATTAGGAGTGAGTGGGGAGGAAATAAACACATATCCAAGCTAACAGAGGAGTATATGGCTACCTGAAAGGAAAGGTAGCAGGCTTTCAACCAATGTTCTCTTTAATCTCATCCAGTCATGTGCAGAATACATTTTATGTGCACTGAGGCATGTGCAACTGTGCACCACCAGCACAAAATCTAGTGTGCGCTCTGCTAATATGTGGGCTGCCATTTGAATCTCTCCTGCGCAGCTGCACAAGTGCACAGCTTACAGGGAATGTTGCTTCCAACTAGTCAAAGGCAGATGGGAGGGGAGAAACTGCCCATGGGAATCTGAGTGAAGAAAACAAGCAAGCAGGCAGTAGTTATACTGCCATCTCCTCTAGATGTCTCCCTAGACATCTTCTATCTTGACCACGTTGAGCTTCAGTCAACTTCTGCTCTCCTTCAGCCTTCCTTGTAACAAAGGTACCATCCACACACACACAAATTAGATTGCTCATTATAAGGGTATAGTTAGTGATACAACTCTCTTAGTGTGGACTCAGTATAAAGCACCTTTATACCAATATGGCTATTCCTATACGAGTATGAGAATAAGATGTACTGTTATGACACCCATTTTTTTTTTTTTTTTACCAGTATATGTGCTTCCACTCTAGGGCATGTAGCATTATAACTGTACAGGAAATAATTCCACTCCTCACTCAGTTAGAATAGTACAAAAACTATTATGTAGAATAGGCTTGATTTTTTCCAGTGTGGCATTTTCCAATGCTTTGGGACACACATGTAACATCAGTTAGGGCTACTGGGATGTTAGGAACGTTCTTTAGGAACACACGTTTACACCGAGCTGCAGGAAGGTTCAGGGTCTTTGCAAGAAGAGCTGCATTGCTTCTCATGCATTTGGTTGGGGTATCTGTTTGTTTGAACAGGCATTTTCTAACCCAGAAGATACAGCGACGTTTGGCAAAGGTGAGAATGCTAAGAAGTACCTGAGGACTGATACAGACGTGGAACGTGTGCGCAGGTAATACCATGGAAGTCCATCAGAATGATTTCTGGGTAGCATAATAAAGCTATGTTAGAGAATTAGTTACAATCCAGTGCATCTTTTCTACGGTAGATTTATGTACAGAGGATTCCACTTATCATAATATTAGCAATTTCCTGTTGTGACCCAGATCCCATGGAGGCCACACTGAATTTATTCAGTTAGGGAAAACTGCAAAGAATGGGACATCTAATCCCCAAAGTTTGTGGATATTCCACTACTTATATTTACCAAGCCAGCACAAAACAGCTTCTCCAGTACCTTACTGGTTGCACAGAAGTGAAAAACACTGTTCCTTTAAAACAACCCAGCCTTGGGCTTTCACCCAGACACCCACGTCAGATATGGTGAGGATAACTGAAAATCTTGTTCATCATATAAGAAAAATCTACCAATCCCAAGTTAAGGAGTATTTTAGATCTTACCCAAATACACATTTACAGCCAATTCTTATTAACCAACCTAAAATATATTTGAAAAGAAGAGTGAATATTGTTTAAAAGATCAGTAGACATACAGACATGAGTACATTTCTGATACCAGTTTCATAGGAGAGAAGGTGGGCTTTGTAGTTGCAAAGAGTTCTTTCAAAATTAGTCCACAGGTTATAGTCCAATATTCATATCCAGGTGGAACTTGAGATCTCAGTCTTATGCCTTCAAGCTTCCCTTGCATAAAGCATCAAGCAGATTTGAGATGAAAAGATCAGGTCCCACAAAGCTTTTATATGGTTTTCTAGCAGCCTCTTAACTATACAGTCCTGGGTGAACAATAGATTTTTGGTGTAATGTTTATGGATTATGTTTTCCAAACAACACCAGTAATAACCTAATTATCCATGCCAGTTTACCACAGACTTTAAAGATACGTATAGACAATGACATTATTTTACCCAAGATTCATCTAAATGTAAATATTCCCTTTTGACCTGTGAATCAATAGCTATAGTAATAGGAATTGTCTGTTTACATGGCTAACTAATATCTAACAAAATACAAATAAACACATGCAATTAGCACCACTACTAATTCTCTGACAATACAGGTTTGCATTTTAGTGTTACACTATCTAATGTGGAATGCCCATAATTATCATTTACATACTTTTCTAGCATGTCTCTAACAGTTGAATCAGGCTACGAGCTGCTTTGCCTTTTTGGCCCATGTGCTAGATCAGTTTAATGGCAAGGTATTGCTGGGAACCGATTCCATCCCATTGACATCACTGTTAATGGGATTTGGATAGTGGCATTGGTTTATTACCAATTTTGGGAGGAAGAAAGGCCCTACCTGAGGACAAGCTTGAGAAGCAGTAGCCAGGGAAAGAAGTGCTGGGATGCCTTCCCTCGCTGCGGCCCTGCAAACATGTGGCTGACAACCCTCTGTCCCAGCACTTCCTTCTGGGGCTGCAGCCCAGCAAACATGCCTGCACATAGACGTTAAAAGGCTGCAGGCTGGGAGGTGAAGCTAGGGACTGAGCAGCAGTGTGCAAGAGAGGTGGGGGCTGCAGCATGGATGCCAAAGGTGCGCAGCACCTGATTTCTTTGGGCTGCACCCTGCTGCAGGGCACTACTTGCAGGGAAGGAAGTGCTACAACTGGCTGAACTCCAACCCCGAGGGAATGCGCAGAGACGTATGGTGTGGATCTAGTGCCCCTGCTCTATGTATAAAGCCCTGGCATCTGGGCTGCAGCCTCCCTTCCTGCTGAGCCTGGCCTCCAGGATCTCAGCCAGAAAGGGCTTGTACCAGTGTTGCAGGCTTGCAAATCGGCCATCCGCTTATTAGCAACTGCTGGTTGGTAGCAACATATGCTGGCAATGGAGGTTAATTAGTGGAATCTACTGTAACTCCCTGAAGTCTGTTCTGTGTAGCCACCAAGGAGTCCATGGCACTTCTATATGATATTTCTATGTTGATTGCAAATTTTGAGTGTGCTTCTGCTTTTATGATAAAATGATAAAAAGCAATGCAAACCGTTCCTAATTTCTGAGCAGGGAAACCTGTAACTAGTGGTAATTAGTGGTAGTGTCAACAGCAAAACTCTTGCTTGAAATAAAGTTTCCTAAAATGGTGGGAAGCGAAGAAGAGTTCTAGGAGCAGGTGTGAAAAAGCTATTTCAGGTCTGGGGTTCTGGTTTTGGCCCGTTTGTGATCATTTAATATACGGTATCAAAATAGTAGCTAAAAACTGTGTGGGCTAGCAGTAGAGAAGATTAAGCAGAGGAACAAATATGACACTCATTAGGTCAGACTACCCAAAAAAGAATGTTTTCCAAGTTGGCTAAACTTTAGGCACTTTCATTGGCTGGAATAAAACTATTTGTGCATTGAAGCTTGTCATGAAAACGGAATTGTAAAAGCAATGCTGTAGACTATCAAGTGGAGCTGAAATAATACAGATGAAAGTACTTTCTAAAGAAATTGTTAGACTCTATCCAGTACAACTTCGGATTTTTGGAGTGCTTTTCAGTCAAATTGTACTTCCAATTCATGCCAGCAGTAAGCTCTCACATTTAAAGTAAAAAATAAAAGTTGAAGGGGAGGAGGAGGCAATTGAGGGACATGCAATGGTAGAAAATAAGTTTTTCACATCAACTTGACTGAGATTATGCATGCATATAAAGAAAATGTGTGTTAGTCTGGTCCTTAATTGTTAGCCCTGCTTTGAAGATGCAATAAACCAAGTGTTTTATTCTGCAAAGTAACACTGTTCAACAACATTCGTTCCCTAGAGGTCACCTGAACGACCTTGAGAATATTGTCCCGTTTATTGGCATTGGTCTGCTGTATGCCCTGAGCGGCCCTGCTCTGTCCACAGCCTTGATGCATTTCAGGATCTTCGTTGGGGCTAGAATCTTTCACACTATCGCGTATTTGATGCCTCTCCCCCAGCCCAGCAGAGGCTTGTCTTGGGCAGTTGGGTACGCTGTTACCATCTCCATGGCGTACAGGCTGCTGACAACTGGGTTGCACCTCTAACTAGAACACAACCTCATCAACCCCCTCGACATTCCACAGGAAGTTTCCACAACTGTGCATTAGATTAAACATGTTTCTCATAAATGAATTGTCTCATTTTTGTTACAATTATTACATGGTGGCCAGAGCTGCATTATTTTAAACAAAGAGCTCTTCATTCCTGTTTGAAATGTTTCTTTTCCAAGCAAAAAGAAGTTCCTCCCCATGTCCTCTCTATTCAGTCTGCTTTTCCAAAAACAAACATGTTAGTTTGAATGTTCTCTTCTGATTTGTTGATGGCTTCCAGTTTTGAAATATGACAGTGCTGTATCAGTGGTATGTGTGGTGATTTTCTACAGATGCACTCTTTTGGGCTGTGTCTCCAAAGCTTAAATCAATAAAGACAAGAAAAAAAAATGTGTTTGAATTTCTGTTTTGACTCCTCTAGCAGCAGCCAGCAAATAGGATGTCACAATGAATCAGAGAAAGATTCAAATCATACAGTTCTTTGAGGAATGTTTACCTTAATAATAAGATATAGCAAGTAATGCCAGGCCTGGCAAAGAATCTTTGATGAAATTGGTATTTGTGTAATCCAGTAAGGGATTAGAAAATGAAACTCCAGCAGATCAATTTTCTCGCACTAGTAATGTATTTAATATATTGTGTATATGGGGAGGGGGCTAAATTCTGTTTTGTTACCCTGGTGAAAATTTGAATTAACTTTTTAGAGTTACTCAAGATGTATGTCTGTGTAGCAACCATTTTGAGGAGGGGCTGTCTTCATGTTGCGAGAGATCCATATAAGAGAAAGAGCTAGACTTCGCTTATGTGTATTCCCAGATCATACATAGCTGGCTACCTATTGAATGCATGTGTTGTGGTGTGTTTCAAAAATAGATCCGTCATGGAAGATCTTGCTCTGAAAGTGCAGAGTACAGCTTAAACTTGCTAATGTTAATGTGTGAATCTCACATGTTTCATATAAGAGCAAAGCAGTGCTTGAATCTTTAATGTTCTTTGTAGGTCTTACCCAAATAAGATCATTGTGTTCCCTTTCAGATGTGTTTGAAGTAGTGACTACTTTTTTGTAACCTAAAATATGTGGTGGATAGTTCATTAACAAGAATGAATATAAGTTCCAGCTATATTCTATAATCAGAAGCAAGTGCTTACTATGTAATTGCCTCTTTAATCATTGCATTGGCTAATCTTGTTGCTGCTTTACCTCAGAATGAGGGCTTTCCCTCTAGTGTGGAGCCATGCTGAAGGGCAGTCCAGGGAGCATCCTGACAACTCTTTCTGCTTCCCCATTATTCCAGAGATTGTTCCCTTCTGCATGGGTAAGGTTCCAGTGCAGTGAGGCATGTTAATTAGTGATGCTCAAGAAAAGCAATAGCTTGGCAGGCAGGAGTAACTCTTGCCACCAATTGTCATTTTCTTGGGTCCCACCCTATCATCTGTTATTTTAGTTAGGCAAAGTGACAGAGTTGCAACGTTGCTTCTGAGTCCTTGTCTACACTAATCCCTGCCATTGATCTAGTTCATGTGATTTCAGCTACACAAATAGTGTAGCTACAGTAGATGTACTCACAGTGGCATCTTGTTTGTGATAAGGTCGGTGGGGGGGAGGGGCTGCTCTCCCATCAACGCTGGCTACTCTTCTCGTGCTGGGGGAGTACCAGCATCAATGGGAGAGCACTGGGAAATCGATTTATTGTGTCTAAGAAGACATGATAAATTGATGGCTGGTGGATTGATTGCTTCAGTGTCGATCCCCAACATTGTAGAGACAAGCCCTAAATTGGGTTCTTCCTCGCTATAGCGTATCCTACAGCTTCCAGACTGCTTAGTCTCGTTTTGGCAAGGGGGGGGAAGAAATAATGCCATGTTCAGGAATACAATCTTAATCACAATCTGCATCAAAATCCTGTTCAGAGGTGAAGCATTCTGAAGAGAAATACTTAGAGCCTAGCTTTGTGTGATTCTACATTGAAATAAATAAAAAAAACCTTGTTTTTTAGGCCTTTCCATTTTGCTCATCAGCATCAAAGCTCCAAACACTTGCTTCCTAGCTAAAAAATGAGAGAAACTAGATACCTAGTTTGTACAATATTCCTTTTCTCTTATAGTTGATTATTAAAAAGCATATTTTTGTCATCTCTACTCCTCCCCATAAAAACAAAGACAAAAATGTATGTGTACATAGTTGGGAATCATGATGAACCTACAAAAGCTACTTGCTGCTGTATTTCCATCTCAGTTGGAGGACACTGAGTAGACTTTCTGAAAAGGTCTCTGTTTTATGATATGTGATGTGCCCATGTCACTTTCATTGGGATGTTAACCACAATCTGCATCAAAATCCTGTTCAGAGGTGAAGCATTCTGAAGAGAAATACTTAGAGCCTAGCTTTAGGTACGAATCCTTCTTAGGAGAATAAGATCACATACTATTATAGACAAATGTATTAATTGAGTGATCTAATTTTAACCCTTTTAAAGTTAGGATACAATAAAACCTCTATTTTACTGACTTATTAGTAAAGAGTTCATAAAACCACACATCTTTAAATCACGGTAGATAAGGCACATAAGATGCAATATTCTATATTGCATTGATTTTGTCCTTAAAACTGCACTGCAAAGTGACTTTAATGCACTGAAGGCATCAGAATGTGATGGGTTATTGAGTTCTTCATTAACATAAATCCTCCCTTTCCCACAATTGGGTCAAAAAATTGATTATATAACCAGTTATTTGTAAGATTGGTGTTTGTAATATCAAAGTTGTACATAATGTTGTCTGTCCCTTACTGTCTACAGTTCTCTTAAATGGGATGCATACCCAGGTATGGTACTAAGATTAGCTGATTCTGTTGTTTACCCTTCTGATAACACATTAAAACACCAGGCAATAAATGTCTTTCAGTGCAAGATGTAAGATGCCTGGGAAAGACTTCATTTGAAACTATCCACTGCGTTTAAGCAACACAAGTAGCTCCTCATCCACTTCTTAGAATCACAGAATATTAGAACTGAAAGAGAACTCAGAAGGTCATCAGGTCCAGTCCCCTGCCCTCACAGCAGGACCAAGCACCCCCTCTCAGATGCCTGTCTAACTTGTACTTAAAAATCTCTAATGATGGAGGTTCCGCAACCGTCCTGGGCAATTTATTCCAGTGCTTAACCACCCTGACTGTTAGGAAGTTTTTCTTCATGTCCACCCTAAACCTTCCTTTCTTCAATTTAAGCCTATTGCTTCTTGTCCTATCATCAGAGGTTAATGAGAAGATTTTTTTTCTCCCTCCTCCCCTTTAAGTTCTTGGAAGCTGTTAGGTTTTCTCTCAGTCTTTTCCAAACTGAGTCATGTTTTCTAGACCTTTAATCATTTTTGTTGCTCTTCTCTGGATCCTCTCCAAATCTTTCCTGAAAAATGGTGACCAGACCTGGACACAATACTCCAACTGAGGCCTAATCAGCACAGAGTAGAGCAGAATTATTACTTCCAATATCTTGCTTACAGCACTCATGAATACATCCCAAAACATTTGCTTTTTTTGCAACAGTGTCATACTATTGATTCTATTTAGTTTGTGATCTATGACCACTAGATCCCTTTCTGCAGGATTCCTTCCTAGCCAGTAACTTCCCATTTTGTATGTGTGAACCTGATTTGTTCCTCCCTAAATGAAAAGTATTCTACTTAACATAAGAACATAAGAATGGCAATACTGGGTCAGACCAAAGGTCCATCCAGCCCAGTATCCTGTCTACCGACAGTGGCCAATGCCAGGTGTCCCAGAGGGAGTGAACCGAACAGGTAATGATAAAGCGATCTCTCACCTGCCATCCATCTCTACCCTCTGACAAACAGAAGCTAGGGACTCCATTTCTTACCCATACTGGCTAATAGCCATTTATGGACTTAACCTCCATGAATGTATCTAGTTCTCTTTTAAACCCTGTTATCATCCTAGCCTTTACAACCTCCTCAGGCAAGGAGTTCCACAGGCTGACTGTGCTCTGTGAAGAACTTCCTTTTATTTGTTTTAAACCTGCTGCCCATTAATTTCATTTGATGGCCCCTACTTCTTGTATTATGAGAACAAGTACATAACTTGTATTCAAGATGTGGGTGTACCATGGATTTATATAAGGGCAATAAGATAGTCTCCGTCTTATTCTCTATCCCTTTTTTAATGATTCCTAACATCCTGTTTGCTTTTTTTTACTGCTGCTGCACACTGCATGGACATCTTCAGAGAACTATCCATGATGACTCCAACATCTCTTTCCTGATTAGTTGTAGCTAAATTTGCCTCCATCATATTATATGTATAGTTACAGTTATTTTTTCCAGGGTGCATTACTTTACATTTATCCACATTAAATTTCATTTGCCATTTTGTTGCCCAATCACGTAGTTTTGTGAGATCTTTTTGAAGTTCTTCACAGTCTGCTTTGGTCTTAACTACCTTAAGCAGTTTAGTATCGTCTGCTAACTTTGCCACCTCACTGTTTACCCCTTTCTCCAGATCATTTATGAATAAGTTGAATAGGATTGGTCCTAGGCCTGACCCTTGGGGAACACCACTAGTTACCCCTCTCCATTCTGAAAATTTACCATTTATTCCTACGCTTTGTTTCCTGTCTTTTAACCAGTTCTCAGTCCATGAAAGGATCGTCCCTCTTATCCCATAACAACTTAATTTATGTAAGAGCCTTTGGTGAGGGACCTTGTCAAAGGCTTTCTAGAAGTTTAAGTACACTTTATCTGCTGGATCCTCCTTGTCCACATGCTCGTTGACCCCTTCAAAGAACTCTAATAGATTAGTAAGACATGATTTTCCTTTACAGAATCCATGTTGACTTTTGGCCAACAAATTATGTTCTTCTATGTGTCTGACAATTTTATTCTTTACTATCGTTTCAACTAATTTGCCCGGTACTGACGTTAGAATTACCAGTCTGTAATTGCTGGGATCGCCTCTAGAACCCTTTTTAAATATTGGTGTCATGTTAGTTATCTTCCAGTCACTAGGTACAGAAGCTGATTTAAATAAAGGATAGGTTACACTCTGCAGTTTCACTTCTTTCAGAACTCTTGGGTGAATGCCATCTGGTCCTGATGACTTGTTGTTATTAAGTTTATCAATTACTTCCAAAACCTCCTCTAATGACACTTCAATCAGTGACAAGTCCTCCGATCCTTTGTAGGTGACAAATGGGTCAGGTTTGGGAATCTCCGTAACATTCTCAGCCGTGAAGACTGAAGCAAAGAATTCATCTAGTTTCTCTGCAATGACTTTATCATCCTTAAGTGCTCCTTTTGTATCCCAATTGTCCAGGGGCCCCACTGGTTATTTAGCAGGCTTCCTGCTTCTGATGTACTTAAAAAACATTTTATTATCTTTT